GCAACTCCCTCCTAAATTTGTAACTTGAGCTTCTCTGTGCTTCAAATCTGGACACTATATTTACAAAATTATATTGGAAAATAAATTGTCAGAGGACGGAAACGTCACCTAAGCAACAACCCCCTATTGCGTTTATTTATAGAATCACGCTAAATGTATTGTTTGTTAAAGTTATCGGAAGATCGTTCAAACACGCAGCTTTATGATTAGTCATTGTAAAAAACTATGCACAAAAGATGAATTAAGTATGCATGCACTATGCTAAGGAGTTATACAGTTGTACATGTGTTACGTTATAAAGGGTTGTATAGCTACCGTTCAAGTTTTGCTGTATCTTACATATGTTTCGGATCGCTTAAGCACTTCGCTTCAGCAGCGAAAAATTCAAGTTTTAAGTTTTTCTTCTATTAACCGTATTTTAGGAATTTTTTTCACTGCTATACATACATTATCAATTTACTAACTATTTCTGTATTGTTTCCCTTATATTCAAATTGAAGCTCATTGAAGACCTTTCATTTACCAAATATCATCACCTGACTTTTATCATTATTAAACTTAAAATGCAATTCACTGGCATATTCATTTAACCTCTTGAATTGCTTTGGTAGCTAGTTTGCTAAATCTGCAAAAAAAAAGTAGCATAATCTGTATGCAACGACACGTATAAAGCTTCAAATATAATTGTAGCTCATGTTCTAGCTTGCTGTACATATGGTATTCCCATTGAAGTCCAATTTCAACTTAAAATCGTATAACTCATTTACAATCAAATATAGAGCTGTCAAACCAGTCCAATTTTGGTAACTGGTTACTCACACAATGTTCCGATCGAGTAACCGGTCAATCGGTCAATTTGATAATCAAACAAAAACAACAACAAAACATGCGTTTTAGCAAAAATCCAAAACGTATTTACACCACAAACAGCCATGTATATATTGATTAAAATGATAGTTTACTCGCGTTTTTCAAGCTAAACGCAGGAAACAGTTTCATGTATCCTGAGTAAGTATAAACCATTGACGATTCTATTACAATTCATGGCGCCATCGTTTTGGCAACATTTACAATATAAAGTACAAAACAACACTAACATGTTAGCGCTGAAACAGTTTGAATTACAAATCAATCCGATTTTGGTCGCATTTATAGATAATTTGTAGGTCTAAACCAGGGATACATAGGGCTCCCAAAGGGGTAAGTAAATGACCGACTATTCGGTTATTGATTTAGGTAACCAGTTTGTGGTCTTCCGACCGAGTAACTGGCTAACCGTTGACAACCTTACTATACATAGTATTGCCAATTAGTTAACTCAAAAGCTTTTATCAGAGGCGTTTTTAAAACCATTTGAAGGCAAATGTATTTCACTTTCAGCTTTGCTAATGATTTGGCAATTTACTAATATGATTGGTCTGAAGTCGTACATATCGCTTTTTTTAAGGGTAAAAAGCAGTATTATGTTTACAAAGGGCCATGTCGTCAGTATCCCACCAGTTTCAAAATATAGTCTTATATCACACATACAATGATAACGTTATATCAGTTGTATGTTTGATATCCTCATTGATATACTAAATCATCACCTGCTGTTGTTTCGCAGATCTACATAGAAATATTCAAAACCTAGGCTTCGTATGACTAAGCTGTGTTAGGACGTTTAAAACCCGATCAATCTAGATGTTTGTCAAGTAAACATTAATGTCATTCTTTTTTCTTCTCTATGATACGTTGTCATTAATACGGCAGTATAAGGATGTACACCTCTGAGAAGTCATACATTTTCTGTATGAAACTTTTTTCTTATAGGCAATTTTTGGAAATGCAAAAAACAATATATAGCCGTGTGTTCGTTTTTGTGCTTTGATCGGTCAAAGATACATGTTCCAATTCAACATAATATGTGAGTGAAGGTGAACGTTTTTGATTTTGACCATATGCAGAACAAATTCACACAATATCTTCCAAGTGTGTTATCAGATGTGTATGAATGTTTACAGAATTGATATATTTTTTTTTAAATTATGGTAGTAAAATTTCTAAATCATATTCTTTTGTCTCAGAAGAGCGATTTTAGTGTACCCCTACACCTTAATTTTTAGAAAAAGTACTATTTGTTTTACCAAAGTTTGCAAATTTAACGCTGAATATAAAAAAAGTTCTGCTATCATTTTTTTTTTTTAATATTTAATAAATCGAACAAAAATGAGATTCTCTTTCTAAAACAGCCACAAAAATGGGGGGTCCATGTGCATCCTATTTTATTTTATTTTTTAATTGTGTCATTTTTCACCTTTTTGGGGTCAACATCGAAAGTGCTTCAGTTACATTTAATATGTAAATAATATACAAATAATAATGTACAATTTTCCAATTTGTTTCTTATTATTCTCACTATATTAACCTTTACTGAATTGTATAGCAAAAACGAACTTGTTACAATTAAACAAAGGCGACACAATGACGATTTAAGTGATCAATCTAGTGTCAAAAATGTTGAAATTTTGGCCTTTCGTGAAGCCATGCATTACACATTTTTCAAAATGACCGCCAAATTGGTCATTTTTTTAAATTGTTGTAAAAAATATACATACAAATATCAGGCATCTATTTTTGTCATATTTTTAGCTGCATGATTGCTATTAAAATTGATCATAACTTTATAAATATAACAAAAACCTGTAACACGAGATCAAAACGAGACTTGAACGTGATTGAAACCCTAGAAGAGTGCATCCTTAAAATAGCTTAATTCAAACAACGTGCAATCTTTAATTTCAAGGGGTCTACATTTAGATCTTTCCGTTTTCATACATTGCCCTTGTTTTATCAATTTTAAGTTCGAAATATGGTTTTGTTAGCATTAAGTATTCTCTTGTCTTTAATTGGTAACATGTATTATTCTTCATTAAAACATTAACCCAAATCCTGAACGTCAACTTAGAGAAAGCTTGGAAAAAAATGTGCACTGCACATCTAAACGTTTCCCAATGTATCCGAGTGGATTTAAGAAAACACTACTTGGATCTGTTATTGAAAAAAAAAAGTTGGAAAATATGGTTGATTTTAAACATATCAACATTTACACAATCACACTCCCGCACAGATATTGATCTAAAACAAGCAAGATCTTCTTGTGTAGAACAGGATTACATTATAATTACGCTTTATTATAACCGGAACAAAAGCATTAAGCGCCACAGATTGATCAATCAAGGGCGTTTGCAGGGGTTTCGTGAATGTCCAAGTAGATAGGGATGGAAATGTTCTGGTTATATTCCAGTAATCTTAATACACGATACATAATGTGGCTATGTTTTAGTAGGATTATCAAACAAACCTTTACAACATTAGGGACTTCAACAAGCCGTGACCAAGAGAATGTAGGGTACCAAAGTGCATTTGTAAAAACAACCAACTTCTGGTAAGAAAATTAAAGCATCACTTATTGCATAGCCCACCTGTACACATATACATAGCCCACCTGTACACATATACATAAATACTCATCTTTTCATGATGCAGAATAATTAAACAAATATACAAAATAATTGCTAACTCACCTGAGAATAGAATTGAAAGGCGTCACTTGTATCGGGAAAAAGCCTTCCTAGGCTACACCAAAGCTGTCTCGCTACGATTATAATTATGCAACACTGAATATATTGACGCATGCGATGGCGCCAATCTAAATTTTCTTGTCGATTTGGTAGAGTGACTAAACCTCCACCCGCATTGTGGTTCTCCGCCAATGACTCATACACTCATACACGATGGCTTTTCCTGAAATGACCCTTTGGCTGTTGAAAGGACATTAAACAAAATTAAATCAAACCAAAGCAATCATGTGGATATAAACAAGAAAGTTAAATATGGGCTGTGCGACATATCCGGAATGAATGCTTGTATACGCAACACTTTTTCTTTAAATAAATGCATTTGACGGCAGGAACGTTATTCCTATTACCCCGTGCCAGGCCCGGCTGAAATTGATATTGTATTACGTAGTTTCATCATTTTATTGTATGTATTATGCATTTTACAATCTTATTAAAATCTCCTCTTCAGAAATCCGTAAAGCCGGGTTTGAGTGTCTGTCTGTGTTCTGTATAATACACAAATACATGTAAGAACGAATATTCTGGTAGTCTAATTTAAATCCCAATGGCTGAGACCAAAGGATGTTCCCTATCTAGCCATCGCTATGCACCAAATAGTGCATTTGATAAAAAGCGACCACAGTCAATTTGCTGCATCAATTGCAATAGCTTGGATCTAAATGTGCATTTGATATGATTACTCCAACCCGATCCCCTTGAGCATTTTTCGTTCTGTTGTAAACTGCAAGGGCTGAAAACCTGTGATTGACAACAAACATTCAGAAGAATATTCATTTTGAAAAAGATAGTTTACGTGATTAACGACTGTTAAAATACAATGAACACGTGAACAGTGACTTTAATTAGCCAGGGACAACATGTTGCTGTTTAGCGGCCTAATACTTAAGTGATTTCTTGTAAGGGTTTTCGCTGTTTCCTTTTTCCTTTTTATTTGTTTGAATAGGTTTTACATTGTTGAACGCATTTGAAAAGTCATTTAACCATTTATACTTTTTTGCGGTAACATATACGCTTGTACATTGACCGAAAGATTGCGATGATAAGGGAAACCATCGCGTTCCCCCGCGATCGGTACGCTAAAGATCACGAAACGTCAGCAAGACCCACCGTGTTCGCTGTGCTCACTCAGGCGAGAGACGTCGATCTCTATTTACCTGTGAAAATGATATGTCAGGGGATGATGATAAGCTATAGTCAGTGGCGTTTCTTTTGATAATGTTTTATCTATTTCATTTCAAAAGCAAAACATACAGACAGAACTAAGAGAGATATGTATTTTACGTATCTAACATTAAAATCGTATTTGTTAACTAACTGAAATGCATTTCTCATTTCCTCTCTATGGGTGTCATAAATTACCGCTACATATGAGCACGGACTTCAGTAGCGATCTATTTCCGTGAATCTACGTAATGTCGGCTTATATAATACATTTCGATTTCGTTTTGATAAAAACGCGATAGCGAAAGTTTGGCACCGCAAAAGTAATGTTACGATGTATTTCATCTTTAAACATACAACTTGTTTCACGGAACACCACCAAAGTAATGTTACGATCTATTT